GGACAGAGACAGAGACAGAGAAAGGACCAGAACCAGGACCAGGACCAGGACCAGGACCAGGGCCAGGACCAGATACAGAGAAAGGAGCAGGACCAGGACCAGGGTTAGGGTTAGGGTTAGGGTTAGGGTTAGGGTTAGGGCCAGAGACAGAGAAAGGAGCAGGACCAGGACCAGGACCAGGACCAGGGCCAGGGCCAGGACCGGGGTTAGGGTTAGGGCCAGGACCAGGGCCAGGACCAGGATCAGAGACAGAGAAAGGAGCAGGACCAGGGTAAGAACCAGAACCAGGACCATGGACAGAGACAGAGACAGAGAAAGGACCAGGACTAGGACCAGGACCAGAACCAGGATCAGGACCAGGTCCAGAACCAGGTCCAGAACCAGCAAATGAGGCTGAAAGCCAACCCCTAACCCTAACTCCAGAAAGAAATGTCACATCAATCTGGTCCCAAAGTCCCTGAAGATGGACACAAAGTGCTTAAGGGGACATGTGATATTGCGCATTAAAGATTAAAAGACTGTAAATAATGCACATTGTAGGGTAAAAAAACCCATAGATTTAGCACATTTTAGGGGAAAAAAATTTAAGTAATGCACATCAAATCAGCCCAAAAATTCCCTCCGTTGACTGAGCTTCACTGGTTACCCCCGTTTACCCTTAGTTACCCCTGGTTACCCCCGTTTACCCCTAGTGACCCCTAGTTACCCCCAGTTACCCCTGGTTACCCCGGTTACCCCCGACTCAAACTAAAGCCCCTGATGCCTGCAAAGTGTTTCTAAAACTCCTAAAAACACCTGGGCAGCCCGAACGGCTCCCGGTTAATTTCCAATCGGACTGGACCTCTGATGTTTCCCAGCATGCATCTCACCTCCAGTGACGTTCCCATGACGACCAGCAGGTCGGCGAGGGGCAGGTCGGTGAGGCTCTTCATGAAGAGGGGGGGCAGCTCCTCCCCAAAGAAGACGATGTCGGGCTTGACCACGCCCCCACAGGGGGGGCAGCGAGGGACCGCCCCCCCCATCACGGCCGGCTGCGGGGGGGGAAAGGGACCGCCGTCACCACGGCAACGGCCAGCAGCCATAATGCTCTGGCTGGGCGGGGTCACGTTTACAGGGCTCCAGTCAGAATGAGGTGAGAGTTTTATCATTTACAAATAATTCTTTACTATACATACTATCTATATCTATATATATATATATATATAAAACCATAGATT